GGGAGCGGGGAGGGGGGAGGGATTGCATTGGGAGTTATACCTGATGTAAAGGACAAGTTGGTGGGTGCTGATGAGTTGATGGGTGCAGCACACCAACAAGGCACAAGTATACATATGTAACAAACCTGCATGTTATGCACATGTACCCTAGAACTTAAAGTGTAATAATAAAAATAAATAAATAAATAATAAAAATAAAAAAACAACAAAAACAAAACAAAAAACAAACAAACAAAAATTGGTAGTTTTTGCCTTTTTTTTTTTTTTTTTTCCAGATAGGGTCTTGCTTTGTCATGTAAGCTCAATCATGTCTCACTGCAGCCTCACACTCCTGGGCTCAAGTGATCCTCTCGCCTCAGCCTCCCAAGTAGCTGGGACTAAAGGTGCATGCCACCAAGCCTGTCTAATTTATTTATTTATTTTTATTTTTTAGAGACAGGGTCTCATGATGTTGCCCAGGCTAGTCTCAAACTCTTGGGCTCAAGGAATTCTTGCATTTTGGCCTCCCCAAATGCTGAGATTGCAGGCATGAGCCACTGCGCCTGGCAGATAGTTATTTTTATAATGAAAAAAAAATGCTATTTAAAAATTGCAGGCATTATACTAATTTTACATACTGAAAAATAAACACATTGTTTACCATGAAACCAAAAGTTATTTCAGATGTCATATAACAGACCTGGCGTTCCAGATAAAGGTGTGATGCTTCTTATTGTTGGGGTCCTAAAACTTTTTGCCTATAAAAAGAATAATGTCAATATGCAAACTTATCTCTGTTTTGTTTCCAGTTTTGTGAAATAATTTCTTACATTATTAAATTTCAACAATATTCTTAATGTAACTGTCTTATAGCAAAGAAGATAAAAATAAGATGAACCTAAGAGTTAATTTAGAGGATAGGAGCATCATGGTTTTCCTTCTTAATAGCTATGGGGCTGAAAGAGAAGGGAGGGAGAAACCAAGAATGGTAACAGGTTTCTAGCTTGAGATAGTGAGAAATAATCAGAGAAAAAGTAGATTTAAGGAGGAATACAAAACTGCAGTTTGAGATATGCTGAATTTAGGTTGCTTTAAAGCCATTTAGGTGTGACATACCAGAAAACAAACCACAGTTCCACATCTGGGGATAGAGAAGAAAGCCAGAGATATCTGGGAATCATATTTGGCAATGTATTTTGGAATCAGAGAAGCTTCTTGAAGACAGATGTCATTACTGTTTTCTTCAGTATTTCATCTTATATTAGAACATTGTAGTACTCAGTAATTGACAACTTAAAACTAATATAATTTATTAAAAATATATGGGATAATGCTTAGAAGAGAATGTATTACTGCTACTACTTCTATTTAGGGCAGTTAAATTTTGAGAGGCTCTTACACCGCATGCAGGTACATTTTATCTCATTACATTAGAAATTATGTAGAAAGGAAAGGTAGTTACTTCGATGAAAATAGGAAATGGGAGAATCACACTAAGAGTAGAAGTAGAGATAAAGGGGAAAATATGAACAAGAAAACATGTTGAATGTATGAAAGTTTAATTTAATAATAAAAGTAAAAGAGGGGAAATAAATTAGAAATAGCAGACATTCAATTACTATGGAAGACAATTTAAATTGAGAGAAAATATCCTTTGTTACATGCTAACGTATTTTTAAATGTGGAAATAGATAATCTGTAAAACTATAAAGTAAAAATTCAGCTTTGCAAGAAGGAAAGCAAGATCAACTATAGAAATTGAAGAGAAGATTCCTACATACGTTGAAGGTACATGCCCAGCTGTTGATGTGACCTTTGCAGGTGTTATTTTCTGTAACAGGAACCCCGTCCACACTGACTCTAACAGCGTAGGAATCTTCTGGCATTGCTCTATAAGGAAAATGAAGAATATATGAGACATGCAATACCTCTCTTATTTAGTGTACAGTATTAATGAAAAATACTGCCCCAGACTGCGTGCCATTTTTGACAGAAAGTGTCCAACATCATAACTGATATCTAGTAAAGTTCCATTCTATATTATGGAAAAATTATCTCCATCTTGAACTCTTCATTGCAAACTCTAACCTCATGAACTTCAGGCAAATGCCTATTCTGACTATGCACGTTGGTAGTATTATAAAGGACAACAAATGTAATAACAACAAATTCAATAATAAACATTTAAAATAGTAACATATCACCTTGGTATAATCAGTTATTCCAGGCTTTGCTTCTTAAAAAGTACTAGTTAATCAAGCTTCCCCTAAGTAAGCTTTTTCTGGTGAAGAACAGCCATCAAACCTAACATAAACGAAATCCTCTAGAATATGTGCTATCTGTTTCTAAGGTCAATATTGAAAGTTGCAATTTTAAGTGATTTTTCCTAAGTTGCTAATAACATACATTAATTTGGGCTGATAGTAAAGAACTTGAAAATGTCACTTAAAATGTCACAATACAAAATGATTATCTTTAATCTTAATGGCTATGTGAATATTTTGAAAAAAATTAATCAAATGCAACAGAAAAAGCATAATTTTGGTATTTTAAGGCACATCACTACAATTAAATAGTAGTCATTTATCTGCTAAAAAAGCTTGACAACAAGGGAGTAGCACTAATAACATGGGAAAAGATATAGAATATGTTTTTATCATGCCAATTATAATTGAATATAATAAAGGCATAAAATAGTCTAAACATCACAAAATGAAAAATAATAATCTATCATCAGAAAAATATGACTTATAATAGCCAGGGTAATAAAACTATTATAATACTAACATTCATAACTATAACTTCTGATATGATGAAAACGATTTTATTAAAGATACTTTAAAACAGACCTAGTATAGCATGTAATTTGAGTTGAATGACTTGCGTCTTTTTCTACATCACAAGTAATTGACTGGAAAGAAGAAACTAATTGCACACTGTTTCCCAACTCAGCATTATCAACTCCATAGTTAAACTGGTTTGCTTGAGAAAAACCTGGAAAAGTAAGAAGATTTAATTATTACTAATGGTATTCTATCTTCAGAGACCTAACAGTTGTCACCTGATATCAAATCATACAATAAATGATTTCATAAACAGTACTGAAGTAAGCAGTTAACCTATTTCATATTTATCCTTATGATTGTAATCTTCTTTTGAAGCACAAAATTTAGCCTTTATTTCATTTACTCATAAACGTATTGCTGGAGGATAGATAGAGTCATCTCTTAGCATTCATGGGGATTTGTTCCAGCATCCCCTTGGATAACAAAATTCACCAATGTTCAAGTGCTGTAGTCAGCTCTGCAGGACAAGCATCCCGATTCCACATCTGGTGAATACTGTACTTCCCATTCACAGTTGGTTCGATTTGTGGATGACGGGCCCGAGGTTACAGAAAGCCTACCGTGAGCCTACATAGCACCAGATTCTATATCTGGGGGTGATAAGTACCATGAAAAGGGCAGGCTAAAAGGACTAAAAAGAGTAGAGGAGGAGAACACTATTTTATAAAGGATGAGGTCTTTGTTTTAAGTTTCTACAGAGCAAAATCTGAGGTGAGGATTTGCCAGCACATAATTTATTTGGGCAATGAGCTATTAGGTATGAGAGAGAGCAAAATGTAAGGAAAGAAAGCTGGGCACCGCTGAGGACAACTGGGGCTCAATGTTGCTGGGAATTTCTAAGGAACATATGGCATGTCTTTCCAAATCAAAAAATCGATGGCAAGAAGCATTTCTTCATCAAATCTGGTCCCCATTGGTAGAGGCTTCTCTCTGGGGGAAATAACTTTTTTTGCACTTTCACACTGCACATAGGTATATGTATATGAGTTCCAAAGTCTGGAGTTACTGCATTAGGCAAGTCCTTGAATAACTGACAAAGACAGGGTGTTAGAACTCAGACAAGAAGCTGGAAGCATAAGTTGAGTCAAAGTACATAAGGAACTATTTGCCACAGCTCTAACTAGAATTAGAGTTAAGAAAGAGAGGATGTAAAGCTGAGTATAAAAGGCATCTGATTCAGTCTATCCACTATATCACACATAGCTACTCATGGCCTACATATTAAGCACAATCCATCACCAAGTCTTTGAGATGGTAGCCAGCTGAGAGCTCTACTAAGATTTAACACAAGAGTGTTAGAGGTAGCCAGCTGAGATCTCTGCTAAGATTTAATACAAGAGTGTTAGAGGTAGCCAGCTGAGATCTCTGCTAAGATTTAATACAAGAGGGACAAGCTTGTGTTAAGGTTAGAGGGACAAGCTACAGGCTATACTACTATATAACTACTTCTAAAACTATAATTAATTTTCACCATGTCCCCTTGCTACCAGCCATTGTAGATTTCCCTTACCTGCAGCCAGCACTGTAGCTAATGGGGTGACACTAATGTTCATCCTGGAGAAATAGGAGCCCCTAATTGCCTTGCCCTTGTAAGGTGGTGGTTGCTGCAATTGGCTGTTCTCAGTAATCACTGGACATGAAGCCAAGAAATATCCCTATGAATACCCTGAATTCCAGACCTACTCCTCCTTAACTACAATTAAGTTAAAGCAACCCTGTTTCTTTATGATAATTAGAACTGATTAGCTCTGGTCATATATCAAATAGGTTTGATGAATTCAAACTGAGTAGGCAATGGTGGTAGTTTCAGTTCAGTGGAATCCATATTGTGACCCATGATGGGAGCATTCTCTACCTGGAAACTAAGACCACAAATCCAGCAGAATGTAAAGCTGCAAAGGCAGAAAGCACAAATTCAATTTCTGGATAACAGGAAGTGACGGTGAAGGGAAGCAACTCTTTATTTCCAGCTCTATGCATCTGTCTATTACAAAACAACAGCATATGTCTGTCACTGGTTCAATGCATGTTGTGGAGGATACCATCCCACCCAACAGGATGCTTTTCCCCAAGTTGGCATCTTGGCCACAGCTTTAACAGGCTGTCCCATCATTCTACTAAGCCAGATTTCATGGTCTTGTGCCCAGTATCACAAAATTTTCACTATAAAATACATTTCTTGTTCTGAGGTAATATTTTATAGAATTCTATGGCAGTATATCAGGTTCTATAAGCTCTCAGAAGATGGTGCTGACAGAGAACTGCGGAAAAAGGAAGCAAAGTCCACAATTGGAGTGTCAGTTCCAGTTACAATCAATCTCTGCTCTTTCCATGGGAGAAGGGAAGTGCTGTAATCAACTTGTCACTGAGAAGCTGGGTAGACTTTTTGAGGAGTGGTACCCTATTGAGAGCTCAGTGTTGGTCTCTGCTGCTGGCAGTTCAGTTATTCAGCAATAGCAGTAGGTTGTTTAGCCTGGGTGAAAGGGAGTCCATGCTGTTGGTCCATGCAAGGCCTATACCCCATGACCATTCTTCATGGGCCCACTGCAATAGCACTGTGGTGGCCATGGAGAGAAGCTCCTGGATGAATCATCCAATCCATCTGTTTATTCCATCTCCTCTGTGGGGGATGTTCTCTTGTGGGAGTTAACTTAAGACACATAGATCTGCATGGTTTATGCTCACCGTTATGAGTCCCTTCATATGCTTCTTTCTAAGACATTCTAATTTCTGATCTTCCAATCCTGTTCCCTTCAGTTCCTAACCAACTCGTGAAGTCCTCTTTGACTGCCCAGGAGCCCATGTACATTCTTACCATAAATCACTTTTCCTGCCTACAAACTTACCAACTGTGTCTACTGATCATGGCTCTGCCTATCAGGGAGGCTGACAGTGAAAAGTGACTTAAGAGCCTTAGGGCCACTTTGCAGCATTTATGACTGAAGTCAGAGGTGATACTATGAAGATGTGAAGTGGAACACAGGATGTATGTATTATAGACAGTCATGGAAGTTTTTCAGAGGGAGCAAGTCATGAGGCTATCTATGGGAAGTGCATTTTTGGTAGAAGGAACAGGATGTGCCAAGGCCCTGTGGTGGGACCATGTGTGTGGATTCAGATAATAGCAAGTGTGGTTGAAGAATTATGAGTGAAGAGAAATGATAGGAGAGGAGACCAGAAATGAAGGTGCTTAGGCTATTTTTAAGCGTGTGGAATAATTGCAGGCTTTGAAACAGAGGAGTGACATCATGTGACTTACAGCGTCTAAGATTCACTAGCTCCTGTTCTGAGAATAGAATAGGGGCAGCAGTGAAGATGGTGTCTCAGTGAACAATGGGATAAATAATGGGATAAATGGCATGAGTTCAAGAGAAGATCAGAAGACAGCAAAGTGAAAAGGACAAATATTGCTAACATTTTTCGGAGTTTAATTACAAACAGGGGCAGATAAATGAGTTGGTAGCTGGAGAGGGGTGTGGAGCAAGGGGAAGGCTGATGATTTTTCTTTTACTTTTTTTCAGGTGGGCAGAATAACAGTATATTTGCAGGCTGATAGGATATCTAACAGAAAGAGACAAAAGGATAATGTGAAGTAGAGACAAAAATTACTTTAATCTTTCTATAAATATATGAAAATTCAAAACTACATTTGGAAGCAATTAAATATAGATTAAGCTTTGTATGCCACATGAGAATATTTTATATTTTTGAAACAATAATCACTTTTGGAATAAACCCAAGAAATAAAACCTATGAATGACTTTAGTGTTCTATTAATTAAATCCTATAATTAAATGTTCTCCTAATAAAAGTGTTAAAAAGGTACTTATACTGTTCTAGTTCACAAAGTAAATTACACACATCTATGGAATTTTATATATTATACTGCTTTGGAATAAAGTTAAATGAGGAAATAAACAGTTTTTGCCCAGATTACTTCACTATCTAAAATTCCTAAATTCTGAATTCTAACAGTATGTAAATTTTTAAATATTATTTTTCCCTATCACAGGTTCTTAACAGTAAAACTCTACTTTAGGCAAATTAAGCAGTAGTATTATATTTGAAACTATGAAAATTTTTCTTTTGCACTAACAAATTTGTATCCATGTCATTGTAAATTTATGAGCTATTTAAATTTCAGAATGTAATTATCTACAGACAATATCATCCCATAATACAATAATAAACTTATCATCAGTAAACAAAAAAAAGGTAAACCCAGAGATGTAGATTTAACTCTTTAAATGTCGTGTATACTATTTGTAATATGACAAACAGTACTATAATATATTCCATTTATAATACTAATGTTATAAAAAGATAAATATTTGTTAGCTTACAGTGTTAGCAGTTTTCAAAATGTTTCAACAAAACAATCATTACTACAATATGTGCTCATCTTCAACAACCTTTAATAGTTGAAGTGGCAGAATTGGGGTTGCCAGAAGATATCTGTGGTACAACTGCTTTTTAAATTATTGAGCATTTTCAGTGTTCCCCAAAGGTCTGCTAGACAACATGAATACTTCTGGTTTCTTGTAGGCCTGGAAGCAGGACTTCATTGTGCCTGATGTTCATCAGATACCAAAGCCTCTCACCACCAGTTCTGGTAAAGCTACGTAGCAGGAGCCCATGATGTTTAATTGAAAGGGCCCAGGCTTTGGACCTTGACCTTCTGGCCTGGAATCCCAGCTCTAACACTCCCTTGCCATTATGACTTTGGACAAGATATAACCCCTCTTAGCCTAGTCTCCTCATCAGAAAAGTGGCCATAATCTATCTTAATGGATTGTTAGCAATAATAAAGGATCATTTATAGACAATGTTTAACATGGTACCTGGCTTAATAAGGTATCTGCTAAGATCTCAATAGATACATGCTCCTATTATTTATCACCAAAATCCTGAGATTTAGGTTAATCATTAATATCCCTTTTTAAATATAACACAGAGGCCGGGTGTGGTGGCTCATGCCTGTAATCCCAGCACTTTGGGAAGCCAAGGCGAGCAGATCACCTGAGGTCAGGAATTTGAGACCAGCCTGGCCAACACAGTGAAACCCTGTCTCTACTAAAAATATAAAAATTAGCCAGATGCAGTGGTGCCCGCCTGTAATTCCAGCTACTTAGGAGGCTGAAGCAGGAG